TCTTATTCCTTTTTCTTTTTTTTTGTGGTTATCTCCACTTTGTAAAGCGAGCCAGGTTCACACGTTATTTGAGAATATAATGATAAATGATATTAATTTTACACTTTAAATTATTAATATTACATTTTTAATTAATTATTATATTTTTTAATTTATTAGAAAATAAAAATATAAAATTTTAAAAAATAATATGATATAAAGATATAATCAATAATTATATTAAAAGGATGTGATAATATATATGACAATAACCCTCCATGATGATTTGTGTAATTTTGACAACATATAGACATAGTTGGCACGTGTGAGCAAAAGTGGAAAAACATATGTTGACGCACAACATAAATCACAACAAAGGTTGGACATAAAAAAAAAAAAAAGTTTAATGAGATAACAAATTTAGCATGTTATTATACTATTGGAATTGTAAAATATCATTTTATAACTAATTTAAGAAAATATACATGTGTGTGTGAACAGTCACCACTGAAATTACACATATCCAATAGCCAAAAATAAACAATAAAAAAATCAACATGATTGCTTTATGTTCCTCATGGATTTATATTTTTTCATTGAGTCATTAATAAGTATAACTGAATTACCATGCTCCCCAAGTCCTCATAAGCAACAAATATTTTTTTATTATTGTAATTTAAAGCATTAAGTGAACTTAATTAATAAAAACATAGCTCTATAAGTGTTGTGTTATTGACTGTTAAATTTATTTAAATAAATATTATTTTATAAAATAAATTTAAATTTTAACTATTTAATTATTTAATTAATATTTAAAAAAATTTAATTTTTATACACCAAACTAATATGAATTACATATTTACATCACAATGTAAAATGCATTTATCTTTAAAAAGAAAAGTATATATTAATTTTAACTCTAAAAAATATTAAAATCTTAATTTTAAATTACGTTATTTTATTTAATTAAAATTTAATCTAAAATTTTAAAATTTATCTTATTAAATATTAATATTTAAATTTAAAAATACATTAAATTTTAAAAATTTTGAATCAGATATTCAATTTCTAAATATAAATTAAAATTTTAATTTTTTTAAAAAATCAAAACCAATACATAGTAACCTAATTTTTAAAATCACTAAAAAAAAATCTTAATATGTTTGAAAGTGGACACAGAACATACTAATAACAATGATTTTCCGTTTTCTGATAATAAATTTTAAAAAATGGCATTGCAATCTGACTCCATTACTAACATTGAAATGACCTCCAACTACAAGGCTACAGGAAGAAACTACTGACAGTTAAAGTGCAGCGTCCCAAGTTATCAGGGGTGTATGTGTAATTTACGGGGAAAAAAAATTAGGTGGAACGAGAATAGGGAGGCGGAGGCGAGCAAGCAATTCACAAGGCTGCAGCCGCTCCGATTGCTTTGATCAAATATAGTTGCAGAACAGAAGAATCAAATGGACTTGGCGGAGTTGTGGGCGATCTTTGGTCCCGGCGTCGCTGGCGCCGTGTTTGGAGCTGGCTGGTGGTTCTGGATCGACGCCGTTGTCTGCAGCTCCGTTAAAGTTTCCTTCGTCCACTATCTCCCCGGTAAGCGCAATGTCTCTCTCGCTCTTTCCTTGTGCGGTTCTGCTGTATTCGTTTTATATATGTGTATCAATTTTGTTGTTAGGGTTTTGAAATCAGTTTGTTTTCATACTGTTTTTAGGTATATTTGCATCAATTGCGGCTTTAATGTTCAATTGTGTGAGAAAAGAGGATATTGACTACTCTCCCTATGATGAAGGCGAGTGGAGGTTAGCACTTAGCAATTTTTTTTTTTTTTCCCCTCTTTTAGTTAATTGTTTTGCAATAGAAGTTTTTCACTTTGATAGACTTTTTTCTGATTTTTTTTTTCTTTCTAAATTTGATAATGCTAATTGTATTAGGTGATTCCTGGTAAGTTGTTTAACAATATCAAACAAATGTTCATATTTCTTTTTTCTTAAGAGCCGAGATGAGGAAATTAGATAATCAACTTTTATTGTGTGATTTGGGTCTGAAAAATCTGAGCTTGTAACTTTCTATTGGTACCTACTATAACTTTCCATTGTTGATACAATAGAACTGTGAATTCCTTGTCTAGAAGCACTTGGAGACATCAAGTCTTTTTATTTAGGTATAACCGTCAAGTGGTTTGAGATTTCAGCTTTTGCTTACTTATGGGTGTTGTGTCTGCACTTCCTTATGGTGATGCAGACAGATGTGCTGTGATAGAGCTTTGGCATAGGAATTCTTTAGGTTACCTCTATGCCATAACTTCTTATGAAAGAAGTTTTTTGTTTGTAATCTGGCTTTTCTTAGCAAAGCAGGCTTCAGTTTGTTTTGTGTGAGGCGGTGCTAAAATCAATCTTGATTTAATCTTTGGTAGATTTGGGAGAAGTAATGAATGAGGATGATTTTGACTAAAACTGGGGATACATCAACTGTTTTCATGGTATTTAAAACCCCTTATATATTCTAGTGGTTTAAATTAGATATATTTAGTCAGGATAATGTGTCTGTTTATCTGACTTCTAATCCGTTTTGTTGTGTAATTTTTACTCAGACAGGATTATTAGGATAAAATTCCCACTTTGTCTTCGTTTTTTGGACAGACTAATGGATAATCCTCCTCTTCATTGCCATTTGTCACAGATTGAAGCTCTGGCTTTTCTTTGCTTATGTTGTTTCCTTTGTCTCTCTGGCTGCTTCAGTGGGCCTACTGATACAAGACTCGCTTGAGAAAACTGGTCCTTCAGTTTGGACTGGAACTGCAGGTGTTTTACAGTGTGTATTTGTTTTGATCAGGTAATTATTATTATCATTATTATTTTCAGTTTAATGGCTAAGATATTGGGTATTGGTGTAACCCTCATCCATGTTAAGAAAGGAAATTCTCAGGAGCCTTTGAATGACATGGTACTCTGTAGTTGCCTTGTAATTATTATCCCCTTTCATATAACACAAATCTGCAGATAAAATGCTAAACTTAGGAGTGCCAGCACCCTAGCTGCCAATTTTCGCTCTAGTGCATTCAATTATGCATGCATGTTTTTGCAGTCAATTTCATTCCTATATACCATGATGAGTTTTGAATGTTCTACAGTCATCTCATTGGTTTCAATGTGTTTGTTTTCCCCTGCAGTGGGTTGATTTATTGGACTTCTCATTCAGAATAAGTCAGCAATTATTTTTGGCGCTTGGATTTTCGAGGGAGTCATCTGAGCTTTGCAACATGTATACTTAAATTGATGAGTTAGAAAGCAGTTAGCTTTTGTGAATGTTTTTATCCTTGCAATCTTGAACACAAAGGCAGGACTCATTTTGCTCTTCAAAATTTTTGAGTGGTCAAGTTGTGTCTGATTCAGCCACTACTCCCACTAGTAACATTCTTATTGAACACCACCAAATCTTAAATAAAACCAAATTTTATTAGTTATTTTGTTGACACTATTCCAATCTGGCATAAATAAAGTGATTAATCATAACAGAAAAAGATTTTTTTTTTTTTTTAAAGCAAGGAAAATGGCAGAGGGTGAATGGAAAACAAGGAAAGCAATTTCTCCTTTTTCTTGTTTTGTCCGGTAGTAGGGAATAAGAAAACAAATAAACAAGAGCCTAAACAAGCCTCTACACAAAAAGATTTGAAGTTTTGCAACAGGTAAATGCTAACTTATTTATCAATAAAAAATTAAATAAGACTTTATTATGTACACCTATATAATTCTTCTAATTATCTTAAGAGTTAAAAATTAATTTACATATGAATTTTACATAAAATTTTTACCATTTATGTTTTTATGACGAATGATTAAGATTTATTTATTTTTTAATTATTTTTTCTAGAGTTAATTATCTTTTCCCATAAAAAGTTATAGTAACAACTATTAGCCATGCTCATGCATAAATGATGAGTAAAGGAGAAGAAGAGTCCACTAAAAAAACAGCAATGAAATCTTCAAATTAGCTAGGTGTACAAATTTAATTACATGTCTTAATTGTCTCCTTTCTTATGGTTAATGTGTGGTTGCAACAAGAAAATTACCATTTGCATCCATACTCCCTAAAATTTGACTCCACTTCACACCTATAAATACCTCCTTTTTTGGAGCTGATGAACACAACAAAGCTGGGTTACGTAGTTTCCAAAGCTAGCCTTCAACCTCATCCAATTCCCAGAATTCTGCTTCAAAATCCAAGAAAACGGTGAAGACAACATTGATCCTGGCAGCAGCTGTGGTTCCAGTTGTAGCAACGATTTCCTTTCTCTAGTTGGTACGTAGGAGAATTTAAGACATGTTTTTTTCAACCTCGTGTTAAGATTCAAACATGAGAACCGAATCTCCTTTCTAACATTAATCCTTTATGCTCATAAGTCATTAACAGTCATGGCAGCACTAACAAATGTTGAATTAATGTTGCAGATGGCCGTCATCTAGGCATTTGCTATGGGGTAGAATCAAATAATCTTCCTCCTCCATCACAAGTAATACAATACTACTAACAGAAGATTAAACTTAATCGAGTTGGTACTTACTATTTTTTTCCTTTTTTTACGTGTTGCAGGTGATAGATCTTTATAAAAGGAGTGAAATAGAGATGCTCAGAATCTACCAGCCCGTCCCTGAAGTGCTTGACGCATTGCGAAGCTCAAGGCTGAGCGTGGCTGTGGGTCCGAAGAATGAGGAATTGCAGAACCTTGCTGCTACTCCAGATGCTGCGGCAGCCATCGCCCCTTACAGAAACAACGTTCAATTCAAATGGATCACGCTTGGGAACGAGTTCATCCCGGGACCATTAGCAACGTATGTTGCTCCAGCCATGAACAACGTTCGCAACGCACTCATGTCAATCGGACTAAACGTAGTCAAGGTCACCACTGTCCTCCCCTCAAACCCCCTCTCTGCCTCCTACCTTCCTTCCGCCGGGACCTTGGACAGCAGCATAACCAGGATCATGTCCGACATTGCCAGCATTTTGGTCCAAGATGGTGCACCGCTCATGCTCAACCTGTACCCTTACTTTCCCTATTCGTCAGACCCTGATCACATCTCCCTAGCCTACGCTCTTTTCAGGGGGACGTCACCACCGGTGGTGGATGGAGTGTTGAATTACTTCAACCTCTTCGACGCCATGGTGGATAGCTTTAACGCGGCGCTGGAGAAGATAAATTACGGTGCCGTGGTGCTGGCAATATCGGAGTCAGGATGGCCAACGACCGGAAATGCCCCATTCGCGAGCATTGGGAACGCACAGACGTGTAATAAGAATCTGTTGGAGCATGTACCCACAAATGGGACTCCGAGGAGGCCTTCAGTATTGATGGACACGTTTTTCTTCGAGATGTTCAACGAGAACCTGAAGGAAAGTGGGGTGGAGCAGAACTTCGGATTCTTCTACTCCAACATGGAGCCTGTGTATCCCTTCTGGTGATCATTCCATGCATGCATGATTTAATCAAATAGATATGTAGTTTTGAATTTGGCAGTAACCATTTTGTGGCGAAAGATATGGATGAGTTTATAATAATGAAAAGGAATTTTTTTTGTGTTGGTGTTATAGGGACAACTTTTTTGTTTCATTTTTTTATATAACTTTTACGTGTCATTAAATGAGTTGATCCATTCAATATCATAGATCTCACATGAATTAAAAGAATCAATTATTTTAATGACACGTATGTAAAGTTATACAAAAAAAACTAGACAAAAAAATTATACAAAAATCATTTCCTTTCTCTCCATTATTTTACATCTTGTTTCAATCTTCTAATCCATTTTGATTACTATTCAGTAACAGTTATATATTAAAACGCATCCTTAATCACTAAGATATATTTATTTACTTATCTAAATGAAAAAAAAGAGAATGAAAAGAAATAAAAAGATGTTCTCTCACCTTCAGTTTCTCAAACCAAACATATCACAAAACATATCACAGGGAAATGTTTACTTGATTGATTATATAGGTAAGAATCATTGGTCATGTTACATATCCTCTTCTCCTAATGGATGTCATGCATTAGATTTCAATTTTTCGATACTAAATTTGTGAGTCTAATGGAAAATAAAAAATTCGATCAACTAAATATATGAGAAGTAAGAACTGGATCCCCTACCGCTTTTCTTATTCCTCTGTAAATGATTACTGCCATATGCTACGCTAAACAAAAATGTAAACCAAAGACCTCAAAAGGGACAATGCTAAAAATCAAATTTTTTTTGATTTCCCATTTTCTTTTCGTAAAACTAACCAAAAACACATTGTAAAATTGAACCCTCTTCAAAGGGGAAAAAAAGAAGAAAAGGATGAAATTCCCCAAAAGATGCAACGCAACTTTCCTGCATCCTCCACTTCAGGCAAAATAGCTCCTAACCACCTTCAAACCTAAAGAATTCACCAAGGATAGCCAGGCAGGACTTATTGCACTACTTGCAAAATGCACCGTTACCAACCAAAACCACCTTCTTCCATGCCCAATTCATTAGCTTTCCTTTAAAGCAAGAAAGAAGAAAAAAAAAGAGAAAAGAAAAGAAAAACTATCCAACTGCCATCAAAAAATGGATCTTCTTTGGATTGCTTAGTAAGTCAAGCTTCAGATTCTGAGTCAGAAGAGCTCAGCTCAGAGGAAGCTCTATCCAAATTAGTTGCAAGGGCCTCAGGCTGCTTTGGCTGCATGCCACGGCAGGGCTTAAGAGTAGACCCCAATTTCATCAACTGCAAGAGAAACAAGTGCAGCTAAGTTAAAAGGCACAAGAAAATTACAACTCTGCCGGCAATAACAGGAAAAAAAAATGTTCAGGAGAATCATCTCTCATTGTACTACTGTCCCAAAGGTGAGAGAGGTGAAAGAAGGACCTAATGAAAACATTTCAAACAAACTGTTGTTTCAATTGATTACATCAAAAGGAGTAGTTACCTCCTTATAAAAATCATTGATCTCCTCTTCCGTAAGACCTTCATCCTCACAATATTTCCCATCCCATCCAAGAGAACGAAGGAAGGCAGCCTCTTCCTCTGGAGGAACAGGAGTGCTAAAGCTCATATTCTTGTCCTCATCATCAGAAAATCTCTGAAACTCTTGATGGGCATCACCATTGCTAATAGCTGCGGCACCATTCTCAATAACATGAGTTGTAGAAGGACTGACTACTTCCTTCGTTACTTCAGATTTCTCTGCAGTAGGAGATGAAATATTTGGCCCAGCATCTGGGGGATCAGAAGAAGTGTGTGTTCCATTCTTCTTCTTTAGGAGATTAAAGAAGTCATTTCGGCTCTGGGTTTGAGCCAGAGATCTCTTCTCCATAGTAAACCCAGACAACAGATTTGGGGCAGCTGCCTTGCGCTCCCCAATATGAGGCTTTAAGCTGTTTGAGCTCTTCAGAGGGGCAGATGCAACAGATGGAGAAGCAGCAAGTTGGTTATTTGCTGTTCGGTTGTTGGCATTGTTTGCCGGATTTGGAATATCCTTCTGAGTGGGGGACAAGGGCCCATTTTCTCGTGCCTGTTTGAGAACCAAAAGCTTCCCATGAGTCATTTTTGTCACGTCAGACTTCATATTTCCAACATAAGATTGATTAGCAAGATGCAATGGAGGGGGTTGCTGGGGCCCACTCTTAGCAGCTATGTTCATCTCACCAGTTCTGACTGCTATTTTAGGTTTTGATTTATCAGAAGAGTTAAGGACCTGAGAAAAAAAAAAAAATTAACATATTAGTGTGTACAGGCTGCACACAGACACATAGGGCAACATCAGCGTAAATTTAAAAATAGCACACTAGCTAATTTCATTCCATTTCAATCTTGTTATTTGGCATGCCATGAAAATGTTCAGGAACACTTATAACTCAAATAATAGTCCAAATAGGCAGGGAAAATATATCCCAGTCCAACTAAGAAAACCAAACATGGTAAAGTCCTCATGAATCTAAGGAAAGAGTTTGCAAAAATATGCAAAGTTGCAAACCAGAAAAGGAAGGGAAGAGAAGTAAAACAAAGCTGATTTTATGGTATAACTGATATATAGATAGTAGGCTCAGCATATCCAACAATTCCAACCCTTAACAAGAGTGTAGGCTCATTCAGAAATTTATCATGGAGTTCAAAAGCATTGGCCAACTACATCTTTAGATGATAAATATCATACTAAGTAATAAATAATAATAAAATAAAACAGGATCCTAATATTCTACAACAACCTCAAATGTATCATTTTCAGTCATCTAATCCAAATGGAAATTATATAGTTGAGAAAAGAGAATAAAATGTTGCATCTGTCTACCAAAACCACAATTTTATCACAGCAACCCCTTAATTCACAATTGAGTGAGATTAAGTTTTGCTATATATGGAAAGTAATATCTGTGACCTTCTAACATCCTAAGCATAAGAACAAAGCATCTAGGCATGCATAAGACTTACAAATAAATAGGTAAATCAACATAACAACATGCTTTAGCATACAAGCTCTGAAAGAATACATAATGTACAAGAAAAAAAAATTTTCCAAATATGCTAAAGATTAAAGCTACAAATTTGGCGCAGCTAGGAAACAGACTGACAGAAAGCAAAGAAAACTGCCTTACCGAACCCTTAGGCATTGATGGTGTCACAGGTATTAATTGCCTTGATTGCTTAATGGCCAACTCCTCAAGTTTTTGTGTCTTGGTAGACAACTAGAAATAGAAGTAATGTCCTGTTATCCAATGTATAAATGACATAACCAACAGAAGCATAGTATTAAAAGCAGAACCAGTTACCTGTGGATCAGCACGGGTTCGTGATGGAGCTTGTGCCAATGCTTCAGCCATATTAAGACCATTCACTGCACTTGAAGCCCCAGAAGCTGAAGCAGAGACAGTTTGTAGAACAGACAAGGAACCTGAACTACTAGTTCCAACCAGAGTAGGCACCTCTGCCAGGGCTGAGGTCCATCTCTCTCCACCAATCAATGCTGAATTACTAATAGGCAAACTCTGTATAGCCAAACCCAGGCAAGGAGATGAGACTCTAGGTATATCTGGAATTCCTTGCTTCTCTTCAGTTCCAAGTGTAGGAAAATCCTTCTCAAATGCAGCCTTCTGGATGTTGTTACCAACAATACCACTTCCAGAATGCAGACCATTGCCATTGCCATGGTTGCTATTACCAGTGTCTTTTAGTTCAGCTGTAACTCTTTGGGGAAAAAGGTCACGATGCTTTCTTGACACCATAGAATGAGAACGTCGCAATGTATTTTTCTCAACCCTACTAGCTAAGATGCTTCCTAAAGCATCAGAAGAGTCTTTGTCCCAATTATCCCCAAAGCTTGATCTCTCTTTATCTCGTTCACGATCCTTATCACGGTGATTCCTACCAAAACTACCATAAGCATGCTTTGCAGAACCATTACTAGAACTCCTACTTGAATTTGATGAAGAAGTTCGATCAAGGAATGCAGAACGAGGGGAATCAAAATCACTTGTGCTCCTAGAGTTTCTATTTCTGAGGTGATGTGTGGGCGAAGAAACATCTATATAAAACAAGAATAAAGTCATCATATATTCCCAGTACTAAGTGTATGAATAACAGATAGATATATGCCAAAAATCAAAATTATAGTACATTCCCAGATGAAACTAACAAAAATAATATTAGAGAGAGAATAGTATAAAAACTAAAAAGCAGGGAAAGCGAAGCTACCAGTATGTGAAGAAGATGATGCAGAGTGGTGGGCTGAACCACCACCGCCAGAAATACTGCCAGTGCTTCTCAACCATTGTGGAACTAATGTGGGTTCACTTCTTTCCATAAGGGACACTGAACATGATCAGATGTAACAAGAAAAGCACTTCTTTGTCCTTCTCCAACCTCTCCAAGAAAACAACTATCCCTTCTACACAAGAGTCCTGACTTCTAACCCAAACCCCGCCTGACTTTCCCCTCAATAACTAATATTCCTTCACAATTTTCTCATGAATCAACAACTCACAGACTCACAACCAGAACAGACTTGCCCTTAGTTCTACAAGTACAATGGATGATTCAATGAAATCTAAGGAGAGTAATAAACAAGGGACAAGGATTTTAAAGCAGTGGTAGCAAGAAAAATAAGGCAATGGCAAAAACAGACACCAAGATAATTGTATTTAATTACAAACACAAGCCACCCTCTCTACCCATCCATCTTCTATGAAAGATGGATTTGCAGACGATAATTCACTCTCAAAAGACCCTCATCTCTCCTAAAAAGGGATCAAACCTATGACCAAAAAAGACAGAACTAATGCAAAAACAAATGAACACCCAAAATTTCAAGAGATATTTCACACCCATAAACCAGTTCAATCAGGAATAACCCTAATGGAACACCAGAATCAGAATCCGGGCTCCCAAAAAATAGGGAAAAATATCAAAACCCTAAAGAAATAGATATCTAAAACATGTAAAGAGTCACAAGTGCTAGGGTTTGAACAGCGACCACAATAAAATTCGTTCAACGAAAAAAACCGAATTTTCTCGAAAGAGAGCAGAGGCAGGAACGAATTAGGACTAAACCCTAAACGAATTATGATGATTGCAGGTTTACCAAAAGCGTAACCGTTTCAATAACCGCCCAGTATCCAAACAATGCGTTTTCCCTGGGATTGAATGGGAGTTCTCAGCCGAGAGAGTTCAGGAGGATGAATGAGACAAAAAGGTGTTTCTCTGTTCTCTGGAAATGGATACACAGAGAGAAGGAGAGGCCAATTTTTCTGTTAAGTTTTTTGATACACTCTGGGATGAAAGGTATGAAGAACACACTGTTTTTCTCAGAAAACAAAATATTCTGTATTTATTTACAACAAATAAAAAAATATTTTACGAGACAATTTGGGTATTAAAAATATAATTTATTTTATACAAATTTTAAAATATTTTTTAATAAAAATAATTTTATTAAAAAAATATTTTAAAAAATTTATAAAATAAATTACACTTTTAATTTATAATTTCCTTATAAATATAAAATATGTATTATATATATATTTTTTTAACAGGTTACAAAATGTATTTTTTATATTTATACTATAAATGCTAATAATATTTTACAGTTACAAATTGTACTATAACTATAAAAATATATAAAAAATTATTTAAAATTTTAAAAAATATTTCTAGATAATGAAATTTTTAAATATTTTAAATAATAAAATTTAAAAATTTTTATATAAAATATTATTTAAAAAACATTTTATAATATAAACTGCCTTATATTATAAAAAAACTAATAGTTTAGTAAAGATTGAATTCCTAATATTGGGACCATATCCCATCAGTTTTATATAAGACCCAAATTCTCAATAGTTTATACCAAACTTTATATATATTTAGAATTAATATTTATCCATTTTATCTCTTAAAAATTATAAAAAATATTATTTTAAAATTATATTATTTTAATAAATATTTATTGAAAAAATTTAAAATATTTTATTTGTAAAGTATAATTTTTATTTTATCATTTTTTTTAATTTTTTAAAAATAAAGCAAAGAAGTACTGATCCTTTTATATTTACTTATTTTATGTTAATATTTTTTTATTTATTTTTCGTTCTCCGGTCAATATTTTCTCTTTGTGCTTCACCTAATCGAAGAAATTTCGCCAAGTGCCTGGTATGGTATTGGTTGGTTTTTT